CCCTGGTGTACTGAGGCTGTGAGCAGCGATCCCAGATGAGAGAGCGGGGATGGTGCTGGGCTCCGAGGGGCTGGCAGCCTGTCTCCATCCTGTTCCTTTTCCTTTCCCCAGCGCTCCCAGCAGCTGAAGCGTTCAGTGTGGCTGGTCCCAGCACCGCGCCGCTTGAACTCTGGCCTTCCCATGAATATTGGGGTGCTCTTTGTGCCGCAGCAGGAGGCTTGGGTGGTGGAGAGGATGGGCAAGTTCCATCGAATCCTCGAGCCTGTAAGGAGCCACTTTTCTCCCCTCCCGGATTCAGCAGGTTCCTAAAACTGTAGTGAGGCATGTCTTTTTTTCAGCAGGTAGTCTGCTTATTCTTCCAGATTTTTTACTGCCTGTAGACCGGTTTCCCTTGATGGAGTGTTAAAAGCACAGAGAAACCTAAATTCCCCCCATATGTAAAGCATGTTTGATTTGTCTGCAGCATCTGCAGTGTCTAGCAAACTTGATCTTTGCTTGCATAGCTCCCTCTAGTCTGCCTGAGCTCTCTAGGGGGAAAAACCCCAGATTTGACAACTCAGCCCTTTAATCCCACCCTTTTTCCCAGGGTTTGAACTTCCTCATCCCTCTGCTGGACCGGATTCGTTATGTGCAGAGTCTTAAAGAAATCGTCATTAACGTCCCTGAGCAGTCAGCTGTCACACTGGGTAAGGAACAGACTCTACCTCCTGCCCCTTCCCCTGCATCCAGGGACTCATAGAATAACTTGGTTGGAAAAGACCTTTATGATCATACAGCCCAACCATAAAGGGAAGCAAGGGACAGGGTGGGAGGAGTGTAGATGTCCCAGGCTCTGGCACTCACCCTGTCCCTGGGGGCCTGGCTCACCCATGCTTCTGACTCTGTGAGCAGGAGAACCCCAGGAGGTCCTGCCTGCCCTCTCCGGGCTGCTGTCCCTTCTTGCTGTGTTGAACACACCCGGGCAGGAATCAATTTTTTCAGATGTTTTCCTGTGTTGAACCACAAAAAATGTCCTCTGTGTTTCTGTAAAAATGGTTTCAGGTCAGGTTAATGTAGCTCTGTTACAATTCTAGTATTAAGATTTTTGTTTGGGGTTCCCCCCCTCCCCTTAAGTCTTTATTTATAGAGATAACTATGGTGTGAAATGTTTCAGTCTAGAGACCTGAGACTTCTTGTGCATTAAAACATCAAAATGAAGTGTTTCTAGGGAACATCAAGGTCCTTTTTACAAAGCCTTGTAGGCAAGGAGATCCGTTTCAGCCAACTCCTCTTCAGTGCCACACAGTTGGCACCAGGAAGGAAAGGGATGACCCTGCCCAGCTCTGCTCGTTGTGTCGGAGGAGATGGAGTTGCCATGTTTTCTTTGCTGCTCCAGTAAACAGGTTGTGTTGTTCTCTCCCGGCAGATAACGTCACCCTGCAGATTGATGGTGTGCTCTATCTGCGGGTTTTGGACCCCTACAAGGTACTGTCCCTGCTGTGCTGATACTCGGCCCGAGTCGAACCTGCATCCCTCGTGTCTGCGCCCAGCGCGCTCGGCGTGTGCCGTGCTGCTCAGCTGGATGCCTTGGCAGCCCCTTGCGCCCCGGTCATGGGGCTCTGCTGGCTCCCTTCTCCCCACAACACTCACTTCAGCCTCTGCCCGGCTTGCTGCGCCCTGGGGTGCGGGTGGGCTGAGCACCCAGCCCCTCCCCAGGAATAGGGGGAGGAGGGGAAGGCAGATCTCAGCTCTGGACTCTGCTTTTCTTTGGCGGGGGTGTCTGCAGCAGGTTTCTCATCTCTATGTTTGCTCACCCTGCCTTGTTTGAGGTCCCTCTCGGCACTGCCATCAACTCTGTCTTTTGCTTCTGCTCTCCAGGCCAGCTATGGGGTGGAAGATCCTGAGTACGCAGTGACCCAGCTGGCCCAGACCACCATGAGATCAGAACTGGGCAAACTCTCTCTCGACAGAGTCTTCCGGGTGAGCTGGGGAGGTGGATCACGGGGCTGCCAGCGTCTCTCGAAATCCCAGGGCGGTCTGTGTGACCAGGCTGATATGCTTCGCAGCAAAACACCCTGTGCTTAGAGGGTTCTGGCTTCTGTTTCAGTTCATCTGCTAGTGAATCCTTGAAGATGGGTCTTGTTGTGGGTTTTTTTTTTTTTTTCAATGAGAGCTATTTTTTACCCTCCTCTGGGTCAGTTGGAAAGGATGATGGGTGGCATGTGCCCAGACCTGGCTGGTCTGTCTGCATTCCTCTTGGGTCAGTGACACTTTCCTCAGACCCAATGGTGAGCATCCTGGCAGATCCAGTTGAGGGGGACTGTAACCCTCACGCTGCGTTTGCTGGGCAGAAACTGAAGCTGTTTGCGTTCCTGGATGATGTTTGTACCCAGATGTGTGGCAGATGTTTGTATCTCAGGAGTTTCAGTTGGGGCACTGCTGTTCCTAGGAGAAAGTGACCCCTTCAAGAGATGTGGGAAGCATTTGGCCCTGCCTTACCCCTGTGGAAATGGGGTTTTTCTGTCTGACCTTGGCCCGTGGGTGTTGTGTCTGTTTCCCTCCTGACCCCTGTCTCGTGCTAAGCGCCTCGTCTGTTCTCTGACATTTCTTTTCTGCCTCTCAGGAGCGGGAGTCACTCAACGCCAACATTGTGGATGCCATCAACCAGGCCTCAGACTGCTGGGGCATCCGGTGCCTGCGCTACGAGATCAAGGACATCCACGTGCCCCCACGCGTGAAGGAATCAATGCAGATGCAGGTGTGGTTCTCTGGGAGGGCAATCTAGAAGGGGAGAGGTCTCCCCTTCCAGGCAGCATGGTTCTCCATCCAGAGCTGGCAGCACTGGGCTCTCCTGCAGTGAGGGACGCCCGTTGGTGGTTTGGCTGCAAACATACAGCTATTAAATGAATAATTCCCATCTTTATTTTGGGGATGATGGCCCCTGCCAACTCTCTTTAAGGCTCTGTAGAAAGCAAATCCCAGAGCTGAAGGTCTCCCCTTGAGAAAAACCAGATCTCCAGTCTGGAAGGGCAGGAGGGGGAAGCTACAGTCTGGTTGGGTGTGGATGGGGCTGTGCAGCGTGAGAGGCAGAACCAGCCCTCTCACCAGGGCTTGCTCGGTGTTTTGTGGCTGTGTTCTCATCCCCTGCTAAGCCATGCTTGCCCAAGTGGGACGTAGGACTGCGCTTGCCCCACGGATGGGATGTCCCCAGCGTGGCCGTGGCAGGCTGGTGCCTGAGCTGTGTTTGCAGGTGGAGGCAGAGCGACGGAAGCGAGCGATGGTACTGGAGTCGGAGGGGACGCGGGAATCGGCTATCAACGTGGCTGAGGGGCAGAAGCAGGCTCAGATCCTGGCATCAGAAGCTGAGAAGGCTGAACAAATCAATAAAGCTGCTGGTATGGGGGATCTGTAGCCCTCTGCACTGAGGGACGATGCTCCTGGGGAGAGACCGCATCACTGTCTGTGGGCCAGGCTTCCTCAGCCACGCTGGTCCTTCCCTGCCAGGGCCCTCGGGCTGAGCTCCAGCTCATGTTTGGAGTGTGGCCATGCTGCTGAGAGGAGGCTGTGTGTGCATGCTGGTTTGCTCCTTGAAATTGTCTTGATTAGCTCCTTGCAAGCACTCTGTCATGGCTCTCTGATGGGTGTTCTGCTGTGGTTCATTGCAGGAGAAGCCAATGCCATGCTGGTGAAGGCCAGGGCCAAGGCAGAGGCTATTCAGCTCCTAGCAGCTGCTCTGGCACAGCAGGTGAGCCACAAAGACTTGGGGCAACCACTGCTTTGATGCTGAAACCTCGGTTGGGGTGGCAGTGGTTTTCTCTTTGACACTCCCTGGTGTCTTTGGCAGCAGCGAGTGAGGAGTTTTATGGAATCATAGAATGGTTTGGGTTGGAGGGGACCTTAAAGCTCAGCCAGTTCCAACCCCCCTGCCATCAGCAGGGACACCTTCCACTAGACCAGGTTGCTC